TTGGGGGGACTATCAGTGAAGGCAGCATGGAGGAGGTGGTCCTTGGGGCATGGAAGGTTGGACAGGGTTCCAAAAGGCAGTGCTGCAGAGCTGCTAAAAGGGCAGTTTGGGTGAGACAGCTCACGTTCTGCCACTTTCAGCTGCCTGACCTCTGGTCTCTGCTGGGCAGTTTCATTGTCTGTAAAGTGGGACCTTACAGCTCCCTGGGGACAGGATTGTGCTCAGGAAGGAGTGAGGCAGTGAGAGCCACTGGAGTTGTCGAGGAGGAGCCTAGCAGGTGGGAGCATCTGCCATGTTTGTGACAGGCTGAGTAGCCCACTCTGCAGACAAAAGGTGCGTGTGTGCGTGCGTGCATGCGTGCATGCGTGTGTGTGTGTGTGTGTGTGTGTGTGTGTGTGTGTGAGGGAGAGAGAGAGAGAGAAAGAGAGAGAGAGAGAAATCAGCCCCTAGTGTGAGGAGCTGAGGCCTGGTGACAGAACCCTGAACCTCAGGCTCAGAGGTGGCGTCACGTAGCCCCCAGCCCCACCACACCACACTGGGGCAGTCCAAACCCTCGCACAGTGGTCTGGGGTCCCTGTTCCATTCATGCTCCGGCCAACAACCAGCTCTACAAGAGCAGCCTGGAGCCTCCCCTAGTGGGTGAGTGGCCAGAGGGGCGTTTTGAAGCTGCCCTGTCCCCATCGCCTCCCCCTAAGCCCAGGAGCTTGGGTCTGGCTCTTTCCCTGGGTCTGGATCCCCACCCCCAGCTTGGTGAGGTCAGGGAACTTGTATTCCAGGAATGCAGGAGGCGGGGCAGTCAGCCCAGTTTGGATAACCATCGGGGTAAATATTTGCCTTGCTTCTGGAGCCAGCACTGTCCCGCCAGGGGAGGACGAGGCCTGTCCCTGGGGTCATGTAAGGGGATACATGCCCGGGTGGGTCTCTGAAGTAAGGAAACCCCTATCATCCCAAAGAGTCTGTGCGAGACCCAAGAAGGGACCCCTAGCCCTAGCCCTTGTCGCGGGACCTGCAGGCTATGTGGCCCATCTGTAAAATGGGGGTAGGAGTGGCTGCCCAGTCCATCTCAGGCACCGAGGGTCACTGTGGCCAGAGCCGGTTCAGGTCGGTTCAGCCAGAGGAGCAGCAGGTTGGACCGGGTGTGGGTGGGCACCCACGTGACAATGGCCAGTCCCCACTGGGCCACTTACGACCTTGAGCAATTACCTTCTCCCCCAAATGTTAATAGTCACTGTGAGCTGAGCTCTTCCTCCAGGGCCCCTGTGTCTACACACCCCATATCTCCTCAAGCCCTCCCAGCCACCAGGGCACAAGGTGTGATCAGTGATGACTGAGGAGCTGAGGCCTGGTGGCGGGAGCCTCCCCTCCCCCAGTGGTCTATGGCTAGGTCTGTGCTCCAGCCAACATCCAGCTCTGTTAGATCGGCATGGAATCCCTCCAGCTACCCAGTGGGTGAGTAGCCAGAGGGCAGTTAGTCCCTGTTTCCAGAGGAGATGGGGGCGCAGAAAGGCCCAGTGACTTTACCCAGCAGTAAACGGCAAAGCAGAGATTCAAACCCAGCCCTATCCACCCTTGCCCTCTGACCTCACCACTGAGATCAGGGCCAGGCTTCAGCCCAGACTGTGGCCTCCCGACCCTTGGCAGCTGTGGAGAATAACCAGCCACTTGGCCGCAGCCTAGAGCCACAGGCACAGAGCCTGCACGGCACCCTTCATCCTGGACACCCTGTGTCTTGGACATCTCTGCCTTCTAGGAATCCTGAGTCGACCCTGCCTCTCTCTGGGCCAAACACAACCCCAAATCAGCTTGGCCAGGTGCCTCCACCCAAGTCCACACCCAGATCCTCCCAGGGGATCCCTGGAGGAGGTGGGGATAGGAAGGTGGGTGTAGTTGGGGGAACCTATTTTGGGTCTGGGACAGTTCCCACCCCCAAGTGACCTCTGCCTTGTCCAAGACCCAGCCTTGTCACTCTCCAGCTGTGACATCTCCAGCAGCCCTATTCTCCCTAGGAGCCTCAGTGTCCTGTTCTGCAAAATGGGCATCTGTGCTGCTCTGCCCTGCCCGTGGAGCCTCAAACACATGGGGAGAGTGAAAGCTTGCTGCAGTCTGTGTAGCCCATCTGACCTCACAGTCGGAAGCTGCCCTGCCGTCAGGGTCTCATGCGCCCCACCCAGGAGTGCGAGTGCTGAGCTGAGGGTGCCCAGAAGGGCCTTCTGGACATCGAGTACCCATCCCATGGGGAGATTGGGTAGGCCTTCATTGCCCGAAGCCCACCACTGGCCCCGAGGTCCAGGCTGCACCCCCTCTGTGGCACCAAGGGCCTTTTGAGAAGAGAACCATATCCTTCAGATCCACGTTGTTTATCCTAGTGGTCAGGCCCGGCTGAGAGCAGCCAGAGCCACACCGCATCTCCCGCCTTCTCCTCTCCCTGATCTTACCAGGTGGCCAAGCCCACACAGGCAGTGAGCCTCAGCTGAGGGCAACCAGCAGGGCTGGGAGCAGGGGGTGCGTGATATTGCCTCTGTGTGAGGGGTGCCCAGCATGGTGGCAGGGAAGCCTGGGTGCCTAGTGCCATCTGGCTCTGAGCAGGGCTGCTGAGCAGCTCCCAGGGCTGGGCAGGGTCTGGGCTCCCTGGCTGGCTGCCCTGTAATGGGCAGAGTGTGAGTGGGCACTCACTGCTGTTTCACATCCCAGTGTGTTCTTGTTAGCTCCTCATTAGCCATGAGACCTTTGGAAGTTAGAGAACCTCTCTGGGCTTTGCGTGTAAGTTTGGGGTGCTGGTTTCTACCTCACAGCTTAACCACAGTATGGACTCAGTAGAGGCCAGCTTCCTACACTCTCTCTTTCCCAGGTGGGCAGTCCAATGCAGGCTCACAGTCCTCGACCAGGGCCTCTGTTTGAATCCTGGTGCCCCCAGTTATCGCTGTGTGACCTTGGACAGGCCCCTTACCCGTCTCTGGTCTCAGATGGCCTATTTGCATAAGCCTAACACAGAGGGGCTGGGGGCAGTGAGGCATGTGTGTGAGCCGGAGCACGTCTGAGAGGCAGGATGGGCGGACGTCGTTCCTTGGGGCTTGGACGATGCTCACTGAGTGAGTGAGGGCTTTCCGGCTCTGGCTTCTGTCTCAGCTGCCAAAATAATTATTTTCTCTTTGTCAGCAGCTCTGCTGGCCGGCTTGCCTTTGGGAAAGGCCTGAGCTGTAGGTGAAGGGGAGGCAGGAGGTTGATTCCAGTTCTGCCCGACCACTGACTTGCTGCATGACCCTGGGATGAGGGCAGACGCCACCCTCTCTGGACCTCAGTTTCCTCTTCTGTGAAGTAGGAGAGTTGGGGATCAGTGAACCCAAGGTCTGTTTGTGTTCCTGAGATGAGCAGAGTTGGGGGCTGCCAGAGCCAAAGGGTCAAAATGTGGAGACATTCCCTTTCCCCGTGGATGGGGTAGGGATATCGGGCCTGGCTTACGGAGCTCGGGGCTTAGGGACCCAGCATCCCAGGGATCCCAAAGCGGGCCCCTGCAAAATAATTCATGCCTCGGCCAACATGCAGAAGAGCTCCTGGTATGTCTGGCCCTCGTGTGCATTACCTTATACCTGTCTGGCTTTTTGAGGGAGCTCCCTCACTACTCCTATATCCCCTCCCATAGTTGAAGAAACTGAGGCAGAAAGAGGTTTAAGAAGCATGTCCAAGCCACACACTTGGTTATAGGGTAAAACCAGGATTTGAACCAGGTTGCTTTTTATTGCTGAGCCCTATGGTAAACAGCAGGCCTCAGGGCCTCCGATTGAAGCGTGGTGATCCCCTCTCCCTGGGAGCCCATGCCTGCTGCAGTGGGGTGGGGCCTGGGCCCCTGGCGTGTGTGGAAATGTTTCACGAGGCGTGGGCACTGTTAGAGCCACAGGACTTGTTTTGAGAGGTGCTTGGCCCTCTTCCTTCCTGTTTCTTAGATGAGAGCACATAGGCGCAGAGAGGCACAGTGGTTGCTCATAGCCACACAGCAAGACGCCTTCACAGCTGGGACTGGAATTGGGACTCTGTAACTCCCAGCCTACAAGCTGGGATTCCAGAGAAACCCACCAGCCTGGCCAAGGGGGCTGATCCTCCTGGATTCCCATGGGGCTTTGACAGTTGAGCAGGGGGCAGGGCATTGAGGAGATGGGCCAGCCGGACCCCACCTGACGAGGATAATCATGCCCCACCATGCCCCGTGCACCCGCAGGTCCTGCCACTTCTGCCTTGCCCCAAGCACCGCTGCCCCTGGAATGGACCCTGGGGCAGCCTCCCCACTGGTCTCCCTGCCCCCTCCTGCCTCTTCCAAGCCCTCACCCTCAGCAGCCATGGAGATCTTCCCAAACTAATACTAGGGTCATGTTCCCCAGCTGCCCAGCTGCGTCACCCATTCGCAAGTCCTCCCTCAGACCAGGCTTTTTTCCCCGTCTTGGAGTCTCCACCTATACCGTTCGCTCTGCCTGGAATGCTGTTCCCTGCATCTTGGCCACCCTGAACCTTGAGTCTCTGCTGTGTAGCCCCTGTACTCCTTCTCTCTGGCTGGCATCAGTTTTAATTTTGTATCGTTTGATTCTTTGCTCATTGTCTGAGTCCCCGCAAGGCCGGGGACCACTCTCATAGCCAGCGTGCTCATTAAATGTTTGTTGAGTGAATGAGTGAATGCCAAGTGCCTTTGTCACACCTCCTTTGTTCCTCCCGCAACCTTGAGAGAGACATTGTGACTCCCTTTTGACACCTGAGGAAACTGAAACCCAGAGAGGCTGGGATCACATCCATAGTCACATAGGCAGTACCTGGCAGACAGGGGGTGTTGGGGGCCTGTTTATGCCTGAGCACACCGTCATGCCCGTTTGGACGTCCATCTGTCAGATGGGGACGATGCGGTTCTGCTGGCTGTGGACTTTCCCGCAGGCGTTGTTAGGCTGTGGCAGCGTGGTCAGTGCCAGGGTCCCTGCTTGCTGAGGGTGGGCCCACTGAGCACCCCCTTCTCATTGCAGGAGTATGGAGCTGGAGTGAAGTGGAGGGCCACGGGCTGCTGACAGGCACGTGGGTCACTGGTGGCTCACGGATCACTGAGGTAAGTGCACAGAGCTGGGCCCGGATGTGTGGGGAAGGCAGGTGTGTCCTCACCGGGGACAGGGCACTATCCCCAGCACACGGCACCTCTGAGTCAGCTTCAGCCCTCAGGGCGGGAGTGGGCCACCTCTGCTGGGACCTCATCATGCCCAAATGGGCCCTCCCTATACCTGGCACCTGGGGGCCTCTCTGGCCTTGCCTTTCTCTAGAGTGGCTGCTAGGGCAAAGGGTGGGGACGTGCCTGGGGAGGGGGCAGGTCTGGCATCCCCAGCCTTGGCACGGCAGCCCTGCCTGCACCACTCTGAACCCCATGGAGTATGAGTCCCCTGCACCGAGAAATGTGGCAGCCATGCAGGAGTCCTGGGGGAGCAGAGGGGCTTGTTTGCTGAAATGGGGGCCGCAGCCGCCCACCACCCATCTCCCAGAAACACGTTATGGTGGATGCACCCTGGGCTCTGAGGTCAGACCGCCTGGGTTCAAATCCTGACTCTAACACTTGTCCGCGATGACCTTGTGTGGTTGCTCTGTGCCTCGGTTAGAGTTGGGGATCAGTGAACCCAAGGTCTGTTTGTGTTCCTGAGATGAGCAGAGTTGGGGGCTGCCAGAGCCAAAGGGTCAAAATGTGGAGACATTCCCTTTCCCCGTGGATGGGGTAGGGATATCGGGCCTGGCTTACGGAGCTCGGGGCTTAGGGACCCAGCATCCCAGGGATCCCAAAGCGGGCCCCTGCAAAATAATTCATGCCTCGGCCAACATGCAGAAGAGCTCCTGGTATGTCTGGCCCTCGTGTGCATTACCTTATACCTGTCTGGCTTTTTGAGGGAGCTCCCTCACTACTCCTATATCCCCTCCCATAGTTGAAGAAACTGAGGCAGAAAGAGGTTTAAGAAGCATGTCCAAGCCACACACTTGGTTATAGGGTAAAACCAGGATTTGAACCAGGTTGCTTTTTATTGCTGAGCCCTATGGTAAACAGCAGGCCTCAGGGCCTCCGATTGAAGCGTGGTGATCCCCTCTCCCTGGGAGCCCATGCCTGCTGCAGTGGGGTGGGGCCTGGGCCCCTGGCGTGTGTGGAAATGTTTCACGAGGCGTGGGCACTGTTAGAGCCACAGGACTTGTTTTGAGAGGTGCTTGGCCCTCTTCCTTCCTGTTTCTTAGATGAGGGCACACAGGCGCAGAGAGGTTCTGACACTTCCCAAACTAACAATGAAAGGACAGTCTTGCCCGGCAGACTCTGGTCAGGAGAGCTCAGGGGCCCTCAGTAGCCACTATGCTGTCTCCCTGACATCCTCAAGTTTAACTTTCCAAGAGTCTGCGCTGTCTGGAATTCTTGTTCTTTGTTTTTAAAGCTGCCTCCTAGGGAGTTAGTGAGTTCCTCATCACTAAAAGTGTGTGAGCTGGGTTGGAGCTGCACAGGGCACTCAGGCAGTGGGTTGGGGAGCTTGGGCATCCCTGAATCTAAGAGAGCATGTGGCCTCTCCAGGGGGAAGCTAGGAAGGCTGGACTGGCCGGGAGGTAAGCCTGTTCCCTCGGAAGCCCATTCCCAGAGGGTCCCAGGGGAGGGCTGAAGGAGGGTTGCCCATGTGGGGTGCCACTGCTTCTGAGCCTGCAGGGTTGGGGAGAGATCCACCAGTGTGGGCTGGGGCTGAGGCTGGGTGGGACCGGCTGTGGGTTGGGTAGGGAGATGTAGGGGAGTAGAGAACCCATGTCTGGGAGATGGGGCTTCAGGCCTAGGCCTGATCTGCTGGTAATATCTGATGTAACCTCAGCAGCTCCTGATGTGTCCCTGGGATTTGGGATGGGGTCCTTCAGGAGGATGTAGGGGAGTAGAGAACCCATGTCTGGGAGATGGGGCTTCAGGCCTAGGCCTGATCTGCTGGTAACATCTGATGTAACCTCAGCAGCTCCTGATGTGTCCCTGGGATTTGGGATGGGGTCCTTCAGGAGAGGGCAGCAGATACAGAGACCCCCCCACACCGTGTGTGTCAAGACCCTCCAAGTACAGTTCCCCATCAAGATCCTCGTACTGGCTCCACATTCAGCCTGGCCAGGTGGGCGCCAGTGCCCTGCTGACCACAGTGGAGCAAACTGAGAGGCAGCATGGGGACAAAGGGGCTCCTGAGGGACCCCAGAGTGGGGCAAATCCTGGCTCAAGAGCTCTGACCTCCCCTCCCCCAGCTGGGAGTCCTGATGGCACCCCAAGTTGTGGAAGGACATGGCTTTGGATGCCGTGCCTCCTGCCACAGACTCATAGCCCCTGGGTCTCTGGGTGGGCCCAGCCAGTGCCGCTGGGCAGGCGGGTCTGCTGCAGGAGTCCTCTGAGCAGCCCAGCCTGACTTGACCCCAGTCGTTTCTTTCCCTCTTCTTGCCTTGGCCTCCAAGCCCAGCTATGAGTGCACATCTGGGCTCTCTCCTGACGGGGGCGGGCGGTGGTTCTCTGTGTCTCAGCCTCTCCCGCGACTGTCTTTGTCTCTGGCTCTCTGCGGCTCTCTCACACTTGCAGCCCTCTCCCTGCAGGGTCTTCCCAAGCCCTGGGACCTCCTCACCTGCGTACTCCTTTCCCTCAGAGCCACCTCTTGCCAAGCATCCCAGCAACATGTCTGCTCCGTGTTACCACGAGGGCTCAGCAGATCGAGACCTCCTGGGTGCCCAACCTGCCACCCTTTGCCATGTTTATGCCACTCTGGCCAATGCACCACTCTCTCCTGCCTTGCTCCTTGGAGGTGCCTGAGGCTGGGCCCCTCACACCCAGCTACATGGAGGCTGCGCCCTATGTGTGGCCAGGTGGTGGGGGCAGGCACCATCCCCTCCCCACTGACATGCCATGCCAAACACTCAGGATGGAGGAAGATGTCCTGGCTCAGGGACTGCAGGCTGAGAGCCCAGCCCTGTGGCTGCCGCGTGCTGTCCCTTGCATGAGGGCCTCTGTCTACAGACAAGAACAGGGGAACAAGAGGGGCCTGTACCCATCAACAGGGTGGTTGGAAACCTGGCATCTCCCTCCAGCATTAATGAAATTCCTGCTATAATTTGAAGTGAGGTGTACAGGAGCTGGCTGCAGCATGTGTATGTTCATGAATAAATAAATTGTCCTCTTCCTAGAGGAGAGGGAGCTGGTGGGTGGGCTCCTGGAGAACTGCAGGCTGGGAGGGTCTCAGTAGCCTGTGAAGTGAGCCAGAAGCCCCACCACTCACCTGGACGCCCTCGGGAGAGCTCCCTCAGTCCCATTCCTGGTCAGCCAGTCTTCCTGGAAGTGCCTGCTATGTGCCCAGCCGGCTCAGCCTGGCATCGGGAGCTGCCACCATCTGACTCCAACCACATCGCACCCCAGCCTCCAGCCAGAGTCCCAGGCTGCAGCTCCACTCCCCGCCCTGTCACACCTTCCCACTCTGCACCTTTACTTCTGCAGCTCTTCGACCCCAAGGGTCCTCCTCCCTTGTTGCCTGGTGGCTCAATCCTTGTGGAGCCTTCCTCAAACCATGCTTCCTCCAAGAGGTGGAACGCGGCTTCTGTCCCCCTACGCCCATGGCCTTGCTGCTCAGAGTCCCTGAGCATCTCCTCTCTGCACTCCCTCCTAAACTCTAAACCTTTTCCTTTATGCTCTTCCTGCTCTTTAAAGTGCTCATCAGACTGGCCGCCACATTATTTTTTATCAATTACATATTGGAATGATAATCTATTGGGTACACAGACAGATGTCTTACATCCTTTTTCATACTAAGCCTTTGAAACCTGCTGTGTGTTTAACACGTGCACCCATCGCGACCTCCGCTGTGCGGTGCCCAGAGGTTCCTGACTACCGGGCTGGAACAGCACAGACTTGGAGAGTCCGGTTTCCTCACTTTGCAAGTGAGGAAACTGAGGCCTGGGGGAGGAAATTTTGCAGATGAGAGTTTGCAGAGCATGTGCTCTCTCTGTAGGCAAGGCTGCCACTGTCCTGCAGTACAAAATAAGGAACCGAGGCTCACTGTGCTGGGTGTAAAGACAGTTTGAGGGAGGCAGGACTGTGGCTGGAACCAGGTGATTTAACCTCCACGTGCATAGAGGAAAGACGAAGTGAAGCGTTCCATTCCCCTCCATCACCTGCAGTGGGTCCCAGTGTTCTGGGGCTGCCCCTACATCACTCCTAAACAGGCCCAGACAAGGCACTGTCACAGTCTGTGCCACATGTGGGCCAGTCCCTCCCTTATCCCTCCCAGCTTCCTGACAGCGAGCACACAGCCTCAGTGGAGGGTGATAGCCCCGGCCCCTCCAGAAAGGACACCTCTGCCCTTTACCACCTCCCGCTTCAGCCAGGACAGTGTGAATTGCAGAGGTGCCCAAAGTACGTGTCCCTGTTAACCCAGGTTTCCCAGGGGGGTGGAGGGTGCTCACTCCAAGAGTGTGAGGGGGAAGAAGGGAGTTGCCTCCCCGGAGCCTGGCCCTGCCACTGCCAGCCTGGAGGGCTTCTCCAGGGGCAGGTGTTTCTCGGGAGCCAGGTTGGCAGCAGAAGAGCCCCTCCAGAGCCCTCCACCCTCCAGAGCCGATTTTCCTCTTTGTTACCCGCAGGCCCCCTCCGGCTGCACTTGGCTGCACGCTCCATTTACAGTCTGCCTCTGCCTAGGCAGTGCGGCAGCTGTCACAGAAGGTCCAGGTGCTGGGCTCGTCTCCCTCCATGCATCCTCTGTGGCCAATGTGGCTGGGGCCCCTGCCCACGGAGGAGCTCCCTCCAAGGGACCCATCTCCTCCTGCCAGCCAGGGGCTGCAGAGCTTGTGTACTGAGCTAAAAGCCCCCTTTCCCCAGCCCAAGGGGATGCACCCTCCTCCTGCAGCCCCATGCTCCCTATGGCCTTTCCTGTCTACTCCTCCAAGCCAGCCATCTGCTGTCTCCCCCACTGGACTGTACGCTCCTTGCTGGCTCAGGGCAGGCTCTGAACCACGTCCCCGGCACAGTTCCTGGTGCTCCAGTGCTGAAGGACAGCAGTGAGCCACAGGCACCCAGCCCGTGTGCCTCAGCTTCCTG